AGAACAACAAATATCATACGAATATTATAGGTTAGCTATAAAGAAAAAAAATATTTTTTCTTTATAGCTAACCTATAATATTTTGTATTCATTTGCAACTTTGGGCCATGAAGAGTGTGAATTTTGTGAAAAATTTTGTTTACACGGTCACGATGCAGATAATTTAAATAATGATTGTGATGATTGCCAACAATATATTAATCACAAGATAAGATATGAAGAAGCAAGAGAATTATACAAAAAGGATGCGGAGCTCAATGATGGCAGCATTTTCTCTGTAGATTTACAGAAAGTCATCATGCTGCCACGTTTGGATGCATTTAAAAAAGTTATATTTACAAAGAGGATAGTGGCTTACCACGAGAGTTTCGTTCCTCTTGGGAAGAAAGCACATGGTGTTCCCTTGGCATGTATATGGCATGAAAGTGTAACTGGGAGGAACAAGGAGGACATTGTTAGTACATTTTATGCTTTTTTTTTGAGGCAGAGGGACTCGAAAAAGATTACACTTTGGCTCGACAATTGTTCGAGCCAAAATAAAAATTGGTGCCTTCTGTCTTTTTTAGTATATATTGTAAATAGTGATGAAGTAGATATGGATGAAATACAACTAAAATACTTTGAGCCAGGACATACATATATGAGTGCCGACAGTTTTCATCATCAGGTGGAGCTCTCCATGAAGAAACAAAAAGTTTACGATTTTCCTGATTTTTCCAAAGCTGTACAGAATGCTAATAAAGGGAAGGTGGATGTGAAAGAAATGACATTTTCAGATATATACATGTGGAAAGATAACAAATCCCAACAGAAGTTAAAGAAATCTTCTGAAAAAATATATCTGAAGAACATTGTAGCAGTGAGAACACGCAGAGGTAAATTTACAATGGAATACAAAACTTCTCATACGGAGGAGTTTACAAAACAATTAGACTTCCTCTGTAAGAAATCATCAACAAAGAAAATATCAAAACCTCCACAGTTGGACAAGCCTCGTGGGGTGGCTCAAGACAAAATCGATGATATTTTGTCGAATTTATCGAGTTTAATGCCAGCCAGCAGGAGAATTTTCTGGAACAATTTAAAAAATATATAATTTCATTTATATTATATATTTTTTCAATTATATATGTATTTTTTTATTCTAATAAAACGTTTTAAAAAATCTAATTTACTTTATCTACCTTATACACACTTTGAATGAAGTTGACAAAATAAGAGATGGAAAGACTGATTATTAATTTGATAATGGGTAAATTGTGGTTTTTGAGCCCCTAGTGCACTCCTAACTAATGGTAAGAGAATGGTATTACTTGATATTCGTGGAAAAAATATGTTGCTGGGTTGGACTGGTTGTTATAAATATCATATTTGTTGGTTGTAAGTATTCTTTACTCAAAATTCTTCCTATTAATTAGACGCAGTCTAGCTCTATGTTATAACTCCACTATTAATTAAGGTTTGTTTGGAAACCATTGATTATCAAGCTAGATTGTGATTAACAATGCCTTTTATAAAAACACATTGATATTTATGAAAAAATATATATTGGAGTATGCATGCATTTTTGTATTGATTATACTGCGTTTTTATCTAGGATGACGGCTGTGAAATATTGTGTAAATTAGCAGTGTGTGATTTTTCAGCCTATATATTGATGTTTTGGTTAAATATAAATTTTCATTGAATAAAGGAAGTATTTTGTATTCATAGTCTATGTGGCATGAAAGTCTAATTATTATATTCAAGTAAGGTTCACACAAAATTTAAAAGTGGCTTTTTCTCAGAATGTCATTTTTGTTGTTTACTGCGTTTTTACTTAGGGCGGCAGTATATATATATATATATATATATATATATATATATATATATATATATATATATATATATATATATATATATATATATAACATAAAAACTTGAATTTATGATTTTTTTTACAAAACTTGTACTTATAGTTTTTTTTTCCAGCAACTGTATGTAGTTAGTGAATATTTTGGAACGTATTATTCAAGCATATTTGTTGTTGTTTTTTTGTTTTATAAAACATTTAGCAGTTTTATATATTACAGCAAAGTCACAGGGTCATAATTTATGTTATAGTTAGTTGCTTCACAATTAGTTTGATAGAATCTTTTTATATCTAGTTATTCCTAATAACTTATTAGTAGGAAAGATTTGGGTTCATTGATCGCCGTAGCAGTACTTTCTAAAATTCGAGCAATCCGATCTAGATATAAAAACTTATTAATGAATAATCTGTCTTTAAGTAAAAATAAATGTTTTATTAAAAAAATAATAAACATGAAATATTTTAACATTACAACAACTCTTGGTAAAGAAAATTTACTCCATGCAGTGGATACTAAGATCTCTTACTTAGGGCGCTTTGATCTTATATGAGTCACATTATTTACATGTTTAATACTGCTATACATAAGTGCTGCAAATGCTTTAGTTGAAGGGTATTAGTGTATATTATATAATACATTTAAAAAAAGTAAAACTTTAAAAAAATATATCCTTACAACCTAATACACACTGGTGTATAATGTTTTTATTAGAATAAACATTCATAAGAAGAATGACCACAATTGTATGCATAAAAATAAGCCTGTTATATACTACTAAAACATATATGAGTAAAGTTTTACAAAACTTGAAGCTTATAAAATATATAAGAGTATAGTATTTTAAGTTTAGAAAAAATATATGACATTCATACAAGATTTTAATTAAGACTAAAACAAGATTGTCTTTTTATATTATCATCATTTGTCGTAGTCAAGTCGTGAGGCTGCTTTTACTTTAGATTGTTTTTATTCCTAAGTAAGTAGTTTTTAATTTCTCCCCTTTTTTTATCTTTTGTGATGAGTTTATTTTGTTGGTTGGTTTGTTTTAAGTTTTCTTTTCTTCTGACAAACAAATTTCATTCCTATTTGGAGTATCAGTTAAGGTCCTTGTTTTTAGTTACCTTCTTTTAACACTTCTTTTTCTAGAAGATGCTTTCGGATGAGGTTTCAAAACTTCAGGTGAGTGTATTGAAGAAATGCTTAGTGACACTTTGTTCCAAAAACTTGTTTCATGATGCACTACAGATATTTCAGGAATATAAAGTTATTTTACGTTAATTTTATTGTTCCGTCAATATATTTAGTTTTTTTAAGTACGAAAATAATGACTTTTTAGCAGATTTTCTATGTCAATTTTCTAAAAATGTGATACCTCCAAGATTTTTCTAAATATGAAAATGAAGTGTCCAGATGCCCCACTTACTATATTTGTTAACATTTTTGGGGTACTCGGATAGTAAACTTAAACCTTAAATTTCTGACCTGTGGTTTATAATGGTATAAAATTTTCTGGTCTGTTTTGTTAAATTATTATTCATATTTTGCATGCCATATATAATCATATCATATATTAGGAATTAATGTTAAACAATTGTTCATAAGAGGTTAATATTATATTTTTTACGAGCTACCTGTAAATTGAAGCTACTTTAAAAGTGTTTGTAGTTGTAAGGAACGACTGCGTTTTTTAGCTCTTCAATATAGTTTGGACTGCGTTCTCTAACTTTTCTCATTCGCCTAAACTGAGTGAAATCCTGAATGAATTTCAGAGCTTGTTAGGTCCAGTAACCTAAGCGTACAGAATAAAAAATGCACAAAATAAGTTAAAGCTTGTTCAATGAATAATCGTCATAGTTTATGGAAGTTTAAAATTGCATAAACTGTTGTATTGTAGTAATAATAAGCATTTAATTACATTTATTATAATTAAATAAAATTAATTTAATCTTTTGTCAAACTTTAAACTAGTCAAACAAAAAAAAAACTTATCAAAATTTTTTATCATACCGAAGACTGCACCTTTCATATCGATGAATTTGATAATATGTTGCTCAACTATATGTACTTTCAAAGGAATTGTAGCCCCTAGATTTTTATATAGCTCCTAGACAACTTCTCTATATCTTTGACATAAGTAGAGGTTAATGATTTTCCAAAACAGCCATGGACTACTTTTTCAAAATCTTTAACTACCTTAATGTATATGGATAAGGGATCTCTAAAACTGAACTCCTGAAAAAACACCTCAAAGCTGTCAACATAGACAGCTTTGGGGTGTTTTTTAAAAACATATTTAAGCAATTTATTGCAAGGATTGCCTTCTAAACGATGCTGCCCTTAGTAGAATACTCTTCAGATGTTTTTATTTTTTTTCCCTTCTTTTCCAAGAAAACGCATTTACCCTCTACGCATACAGAATTATTAATTTCTGCAATAAACTCGAATATATGAAGCAGAGACTCCTTAGTACCTTCGATAAAACAACCTCAATAATACCTTATCATTTCGTGTTGGCAACTTTAGTTTAGGAAGAACCTCAACTTTTAGGAAAAAAAACGTTTTAATTTACATTTTTATAACCTTTTTTTTTATATAAACTTTTTTATGCAAACTTTTTAAATGTAAACCTTTTTTTTATATAAACACTTGTGTGACACGCGTATAAATTCTGCTTTCAGGATTTTTAAACGTATTTTATATATTTTCACGATATCCGCAAAATCATCTTTTTTTTTTTGTATCAAATTTATTTTGGGCTTGGATCTGTCTAATTACCTGTTGCGTAGATAACCATTAATGTAACATTAATAAAAATAGATCCGCATAATCACGAACCTTGAATATCAAATGAGAATTTTATTTAAAATTCACATTACTTAAATTACGGGCGTTATCAGAAATTTTACTAAAATGGTCAATTAGAAAATTTTACTCAAATGGTCAATTAGGAAGTTCCCATGTGGTTTGTAGTATTTTTTAATGAAAGGCTCTGAGGTTAAACGCAATTCATCATCCCTGATGCCGACTAGCACCAGCCACCCTACTAATGAAAAATACAAGAGTATTTAAAGTCTAACTCAATCATTAATATTATCGTTTAATATTATTGTTTAACAGATCAATGTTTTTTAACAAAAAACAATTTAGTTTTTAAAAATATTTATATTAAAATATACGAATGTTTGTATAAAAATTTCACTATTGTAAAAAAATTAAAAAACAGAAACATATTTACTTCTTCCATCTTTTATAGTTTTTATTTGCGATATCTTCTATTGGAATAATCCCCTGAGGCGGTGGAAGTTGTAATACATCATGGAGGGTTTTGTACATTTCATCAGAGACATCAATTGCAAAGCTTAGTACTTCATCTTTTGCTATTGGTTGGAATCCTTTTAATATCCTTTTGGTTTGCTTTAAATAATTATCCATGGAATACGGCTCTTTGTAAATCTCTTGATAAACTTCCTCAATTGTTTTACTTTGGGATTCAGCGAAGGCTTCAAACCGTTTAATGTGTCTTCTAACTAATTCGTCTTCTGATAAATTCAGTAGAATGAAAATGTAATGAGGAAACTGCAATCTAAAAAAATCTCGTACTTCCCTATTATATACTGATATAGAAACGACTACTTCTGAGTTGGATTCATGCGCTTTCTTTACTAAGTTAGCAACTCCTTGGTAATACGGTTCCCAAAGTTCACGTGGAGCTGATTTCTCATCAAACCAATATTCATAAAAAGCTTTCATTAGATTCGTTTTCCACTCCACGTGTTCAGGTTCTTTAGAAATTATAAATGTATCGCCATCAACATGATAAAATCCACACATCATCTCTAAGTAATCCCCAGTAAAAGATTTACCAGCTCCTGAACACCCGCTAATTAAAACAGTTCTTTTTGTCATTTCCTATTTATTCAAAATTAATATCATTTAAAATATAATACAAATGTATATATATTTAAAAAAATTAAATAAAAAATAATAATAAGGATATGATAAATAAAAATTTTTACTTTTATTGAGACAATTTAATTTGGGCAATAATACAAGTTCATAAAACACTTTTTAATAGAATATTTAATGCACCTGAGGTTAAATATTTCATTTTAAACTAAAAAATTAAAACCTTAGGAAAAGCGTTGTTTTTAAAGCAAAAAAATAAAAACAGAACCAAAAAACCATTAGCGTACATTAAAAAAATATTAGGATAAATAACCGAGTCAAAGTTAATACTAGCTTACACAATGGATACCTTTATAAAAATATATAAAGAAAAACAGAAAAATTATACAAATATAAAATAAATGTATATTATATCCTAAGGTGTTAGACTACTGATTTAAAGCGTATATTCTATTTTAATGTATATATAAAGCTTTAGGCAAATTAAAAGACAAAAAGAAATTAAAAATTAAAAGACCAAAAGACCAACAAAACAGATTAAAAGTGAAAATAGTGTTTTTTAATCTTTTACTTATCTTTTTTTATGTATGAATCAAGTAGAGTGTATTTTTGAAATATAATAAGTCTGAATATCATAGCAACTACAAACACATATTGTTCAAATATGTAGTATAAAATTTACAATCTGATATTTCAGTTTAGTGAGTGTTTAAAGAATTTTTTATACCAAATTTTATTACTTGTCCTAGGATCCTTCAAAGAACCAAAACATTTGACAGGTTCCTAATATTATATAATACATTTTTTTACACTCCCCACACCCAGAGAAATTTTGTTTTTTAAGACCATACACCCAGAGAAGTTCATAATCAGCCTTAAGAGTTGCATCTCTTTCTCTTTTCTACAAATCATGGTTGCTGTTAAAAAGAGTTATTATCTCTAGTTCATCAACTAACACTCATTCTTGTTTGACTCGTTATTCAGCAAAGTCTTATTTGTTTTCTGTATTAGTCCCTGCATGCTTTAAAAGCTTTTATTTGCCTAGTTTTTTTTTCTCGGAAACCTATCTGATTCCTCATGTTTTCTTAACTAATACAACCTACAACTTTTCAAGTCTTCTGTCAACCATTTCCATGTTCTATAATTCTATACTCTTTTTCTTAGTAACTCCCAACTAAATAGTGGTTGCTTGCAGCCTTGTTGGGAGTGAATCAGAATGAAAAAAAAAACTGAAAATAACTGAAAAAAAAAATCCTTTCAATTAACTTATTTAATAGCAGTGGTGCAGCTAGTCACATCAACTTTTATATCATATGCAAAATTAAAACTGAGCCATATCATACATCTTGTATTACAACACTGTTACCTGCTTTTATAAAAAAAGTTTTTAAAAAAGTTTGAAAATCTTTTATTTTTATCGCTTTTATCAAGCCAAATCTTTGTTTATCAAACAAACAACGGGGCGTCCATAAAGTACGTACACAGTAATACCACTGATTTAGGATTTTCCCTTCCTTCTTTTACAAGTATGCTTCCAATAATCCCTCTCTATCCTTTCTGTGTATGTGCGTATTATTTAGTACAAAATCAAACTGCCTTCACAAAGGCATAATATTTTCAAAACATCAAAACAAAATACTTTTAGTTACCTCAACTTTTTTTGATACATAAACATAATAATCATTTCTTTGTTACATAAACATAATAATCATTTTTTAAACTTTTTAAATTTAATGCTTTTTTTTTTAAAACAGAAATATTTCAGGAGAGATGAAGAATAAAAGATAGTCAAACTTAAAATGTACATGTTATCAACCCTCCTCTTTAGATGCATTTGTATGTTGTTGGGAACCCCACTCCATTCAAAATTTATCAATAGAAATCAAGTTGCATCATAATTGATGCAACTTGATTTCTATTGATAAATTTTGATTAAATTTAAAAATGCCCCAGAAAAGTTTATATTTACCACATGCTTCAAAATTCTCTTAAACACAAAAAAAAGACCCTCCTTTTGAAATTTACTATGATATGACTATAAACAAAAACAAATCTGTAACAAAAATTTTCATAAATTTTTTTTTTCAAAAAAATTATCTTTTTAAGAAAATATTATTCTTTTATCATTTTCATTTAGATTGCTCAAACAAAAAGCAGTTATTATATTAAATAATACAACATTAAAAATTGTTTAACCTATTATGGTTCACATACTAATTACTTTGAGATAAAATTATTTCCATAGGTGTAAATTTTTATTTTAACTTGCTTTATCATTTTTTTGCAATTTGGTTTTTGCTGACATGAGTAGTTTTTGAATAAATGATGGTATCCATATGGATACTTTGAAGAACTAAGTAAAAGAATCCTAATGAATTTTATTGATAAAATTAAATTGAGTCATTAAAAAAATATAAATTATATGTTGAATACTCAAGAAAAACTCAAATATAAGTATATATATAAAATGTATATACATTCAAGTATATATATAAGTATATATAAGTATATATATAAGTATATATATATATATATATATATATATATATATATATATATAAAACATATAAATAAACCGGTGTATATATATATATATAAATATATATATATATATATATATATATATATATATATATATATATATATATATATATATATATATATATATATATATATATATATATATATAAAACATATAAATAAACCGGTGTATATATATATATATATATATATATATATATATATATATATATATATATATATATATATATATATATATATATATATAAAACATATAAATAAACCGGTGTATATATATATATATATATATATATACATATATATATATATATATATATATATCCAAAATTTCTTTCTCCATATATCTCTATATATCCAAAATTTCTTTCAAGCACAAAAAATGAAAATATTTTAAGAAACAAGACAAACTTTTTAATTAATAAAACCACTTTATTAATATTAACCAATACATGTTTTGACTATCACTAGTCGTCTTCAGTTGAATTTAAATTTTTTATTAATATTAACCAATACATGTTTTGACTATCACTAGTCATCTTCAGTTGAATTTAAATTTTTTATTTTTTAAATTTGTTTAAATACCGATTTAGGTGATTTTTACAATAACAATACAAAAAGTAATTATCTATGTACAAACTATTAATTTAATTACAAAAATACGACAAAATCTATAAGAATAACAAGTCATGCTAAAAGAACGAATAGGAAGTGAGGAAAAAATAGGTTAATAAAAATTAATGAAAAAATAGGTTAATAAATATTCTTATAGATTTTGTTGTATTTTAGTAATTGAATTAATAGTTTGTACATAGATAATTACACTTTGTATTGTTATTGTAAAAATCACCTATATAGGTATTTAAACAAATTTAAAAAATAAAAAATTTAAATTCAACTGAAGATGAATAGTGATAGCATATATGAGTATTTGATTTTATGAAAATCCCGGAAATTTTTTTAAATGAAAATCCCGGAAAATTCTGGAAAATTATTTTATTAAGTTGTTCCTATTAACTTAAAACAAAAACTTTCGTAAACTTTTAAAACGAAATTTAGATAATTTAACTTTTTACAAAAAGGAATTTCTAATATTCGATAAAGTTAATTTGAATAAATTAAAAAGCAAAAAAAAAAAAAAAAATTTTTTTTTTTTTTTTTTGCTTTTTAATTTATTCAAAATTCAAAAAAAGTTTTTTTTTTTAATTTTATGTAAAAATATATAATTTTTTTTAAACAAATTAATAAAAAAAAACATCCATAAATTTTTCTGGAAAAATAAAGTGAATTTCCGGAAATCCGAGAATTCCCGGCTTGGTAGTTTTTCACATAAACTGTAGTTTTAAAGAGAGCGCTAATAAACCAGACCAGAAATAGTTTAAAAACTTGAATAATTTCTTTTATTTTATTAAATGATAGACTGCCTGCCCTAACCAAACCCTCAGTCATTATAGCAGCACTCCATTGCGACTCAGGCTATAAGATAGTCAATGTAGCAACACTCTGTTGTGAGTCAGGCTAAAAGATAGTCAATGTAGCAACACTTCCTTGTAGCAGCAGGCTATAAGATGGTCGATGTAGCAACACTCCACACATGTTGTAAAAAAATAATTTAATAAAACAACAAAAAAAACACTATTAATTAAAAAAACTTTCTAGTCATTATTATTGCGGGGTTTTTTTTGACATTTCAACAATTTTCAAAACTTCGACATTTTTGACAACAATAAAATGTAGCTGTATATTTGTTGAAGTACCAATTGTTGAAGTACCAAAATTGCAGTCAAAAGAGACTTTCTTTACATTAAAAGTCTCTTTCGACTACGATATAAGGATATTTATATATATATATATATATATATATATATATATATATATATATATATTATATATATATATATATATATATATATATATATATATTATATTTTTAAAGGTTATAAAATTTGTGATACCAGTAGTTTTTCAAAATTAATTTATAATTTTGCTACTCTGCCATCATAAATTTGTTGGTTGCATATGGCTGTTCTGACCAGAACTGGAGTAAATTTTGAATATATATATATATATATATATATATATATATATATATATATATATATATATATATATATTATATATATATATATATATATATATATATATATATATATATATATATACTTATATGTATATATATATATATATATATATATATATATATATACAGGCTTGGTGGGGAAGCGGGTGCGATCGCACTCGATAACTGACCACGGAAATAATATTTAATTGCGAAAAACCAGCCAGATTTTTTAGTTGTTTTGAGAACATTTAAATTTATATATGTTTCCTTAATTAAGTTCATTATTTTATCGTAAATTTTAAAATATTTTGTTTTACGGACATACATGAAAACGTGCATAAACTCGAATGTTCTCAAACATCTTAGTGCGGAAAATAAAAAAAGAATATTTGCGAACACAAAA